ATGATTGGCATTGGTGCGAAGCATGGGTCCATGCCGATTGAAGATATCATGTGCGATCGAACTACTCTCTCAAAGTCACTCTTACCAATAATTCACAACGATTGTGTTAAACAACTGAAAGATGGCTTTTTCTATATTACTGGAAGCAGTGTGAAATCAGCTTATCGCATTAATGTCAGGATTAGCTGTTTTGTTCATAACCACAACTTAGCTGTAGAAAAGGTTCAAATAGTGGTGAGCTTATCCATGAGAGGATTGAGTTTTCAAAAGTATGTGCATACTTTAAGCACAGTGGTAAAAATAAGGAGACACGCCTAAATAGGATGTTGCCACACGATGGAATAGCCTTATTTTTCTTTTTTTTCTTTTTGAAATCCCTGACATTTCAGAACGTGTGAAGCTAAACAGCTCACCAAGCTTGGGTTGTTGAATAATGTTAATAAACTGCTAATGAATGATGTAGAATTTATGCCCCCATATCACAAAGCAACTTTCGCGTGAAAAAGTACCGAACAACACCTGCCTCACCTGATGTGTGTGGCCAGTGATGTGTTAAAGTACCCACAACACCTGATGTGTGCCTAAAGTTGTTTTGAATTAAGTCAAATTTTGAAATACGTGATACAGACGGCAACAGCATTCCGGAGCTCAAATAAGCTTTTCGGGTATAAGTTAATATTTTGTTACTATTGTATCCACTCCACCAGCTTTTAACTCTTATTGAACCATTTTACAAATATGTGTCATTTGCACAAGTAGATGAACACGAGTGCCTATACGATTTATTTGGCTAATATACGGAGCCCTGTTTGCTCTAGAACAGTGTTGTCATACCTACTTGACTACCTGGGCCACACAATTCATGAACCCCAGGGCCGCAAATGACATTTAAAAAGAAAGATTGATAAGGTTGTTTTTTTGTTTTTTTGTTGTTGTTGCTTTTTTTGTTTTACTATTTAGAAAATTATTCCTATTATTAATAGCCTACATCTTACCTTATGCATGAAGCGTCATATCCAATCGCAATAACGGCTAATCAAGAATAAAAATAATGTGAATAAAAATGGTAGCCCATTTTATTGATATATGTAGCTTTGAATTGTTAAGTACTTTCAATTTGGCTAATTTGATATCGTTGTCAGTAGCATCTCCCGAAATGTTGACAACTCAAGGCGTTACGTTCTTTGGACTCGATGTTGGTCACTATACAGAGAATCCAGCTTCACTGATGATGAAAGGTACTTTCAAAGCATGGTCAACATTTTGTTACATTTCCATTTTTATGCAAATTCATCAGAAGAAACATACGTCATCCAGAACTTATTAGGCCACAGATTTTTTTTTTTTTTTTTTTTTTTTTTTTTTTTTTTTTTTTTTTTTTTTTTTTTTTAAAAAATAAACACACATTTTTTTTTTTGTTTTTTTTTTTTTTTTTTTTTTTTTTTTTTTTTTTTTTTTTTTTTTTTTTTTTTTTTTTTTTTTTTTTTTTTTTTGTTGTTGTTCATTTTTAAAGAATACACGCACAGCTTGTATCCTGGTTTCTTTTCATTGAACGTCTCATACTCTCGAAATACCAGAACGTTACAACGAGCTAGGATGGATGTCAAAATACTCTGTTTCTCTCTAGTCGAGACTCTTCGAATATTTCTGGCAACGTTGTCTAGGGTACGCAGTACCCTATGCCCTATGCACTTATAACTAGGCACACTGAATATTAGAAAACCAACACTCCAGGTGTTTATGATTCATTATTATTCATCATTATTCCGTGTATCTGTCACACAGCTCCACCTGGTTGCAATATCTCCTCCAAACTGACACAGTCTTTTCAAAACACATGAGCTATCACTCACTAACGTCCCATGACTCTCTCCGTGATTAACTCCCCCTCCCCCCCCCAATAAAAAAAAACAAAAAAAAACTCAATCTCATAGCCTTATATTCACACACTTGTTTATTATGCTTGTTCTGTCCTCCAATGACCATTTAGCACAAAATAGTACAACTCACGGACCAAAAGCGCTCACGCAAATAACAGTGATTCTCATACCCTTGACAATGGATGATACACACTCTCTCATACCTGGCTAGACTAAAATGTTTAAATAACATAGTATCATAAACGCTTCACATTGCCCACCACAGTCCTTCAATTTTGACACATTTGGTACCCCGGCATTCTTCTCTATTACTCTGACCCGAAGACATTCCTGTCGCATTATAATCATCCTACAGCGCGTAGTAGTTAAGTCACGGTGTTTGCATAATATCTATTTCATCTAAACTTTTCCCGTTGGTGGTGTGATGGACACTTTAACAATGACCAAAATGGCAACAAGTTACTTTCGGTTTCACTATTCATCTTTCCCAACACCGTTAGTAATGATACCCGACACCACGTGACGCCTCCTTTGTACAACCAAAGAGAAAGAAAGAGAATAGGTGCTCAAATGGTTGCTATGACAATGGGCTTAACAATAGGTACCCGGGTACCTATAGCCACAGCCTTAAAGTTAAGCCATGCCACTCTTAGCTTGCGTTTTCCCAAGAAAACTATATCAATGGATGTGGTTTGGTAATATTTTAACCCTAAAACGTTTTTTTTTTACACCGGGGCCCCTCGATTAACTTAAAAGATAAAGGATTATAATTATGGTATTTGTTGAAGATTTTTATCGTATTCGAAAAATAATTAGAAAAGTAGTTTTACACATGTTTCGAGCAGGTTATTAAATTTAATATAGAATGTTCCAGAAAGTTCTAAATTGTTCCACGGGGATATAAAGTGGGATCTAAGGGATAATGAAATTTTAGTTAGTTCTATTCATTTCTATACTGTCCCGGAGTTTACTATTCTCTCAGTTACACGGAGTAATTGTTTTTATACGGAATCCCATAGGACGGTATCCCATCATAATCTTTATCCCAAAAGGATCAAGAACCCACAAGAAAACCTTGAATGGATCCACCGGGATCGGGATAAAACCGGGAAACGGTACTGCGCCGGGATCGGTGTCCGAATGGGACTAGGGTTCCAATGGGATTGGGGTCACGCAAGGATGGGGTCCTAATGCAATCCCATGCAACGCCGGGTATTTTGGCTAGTGTACTTCATAATTTTACAAAGTCACGTGACAGATGAATTAAAAACTTCGATCCGAAACGTTCCAATACAAAACAAATATCTACATTTTAAATTTAAAAACTGGATAAGTGGGTAAGGAATCATAACAAATTTAGTAGTAATAATACTAATAAACTAAGAAAATTCGCTCCGTTTGTTGTCACTACTAGTAACTACAGTAACTAGTACAGTTAGCGTGTAAGTTTAGTTTAGTAGGTCTAATTAAATTGCGCTTTATAATTATTACAATCCCCCCTTCCCCACACTTTTACTTTTACTTTTAATAATTTACTTTTAACAAGTTTTTCATTTTAAAAAAAAATGTAGTCCTTACTCCTTCCTTACTTAGTGGTAAGTCGGACTTTTACCAAGCTTTTAGTTTGAGTTTGTTAATTACATTTTTTAAAACATTTCAGATTGGAGTATTAGATAATTACTATGTATTTTTAGGTATTGGACATATGACATATGTTACTATACTATGTATGTATGATTATAAGTTTTCTTTATAATTGTAAGATTTCTAAGAATTAAGAAGCTAATTTAAGAATAAATAGGCCTAGATAAAAGTAAAAGAATTTGAGTTATAAGTTTATTAATTAAATTAATTAATTTTAAAAAATAATATTATATAAATATTTTATATATAAATTACAATTACAATGTATAGGCCTAGTCTATAGTAATAAAATAGAATATATATATATATATAATTTATAATAGGCTATAGGCTATAGGCCCTACTATTACTATACTTAACTATACTATGACAGGGCACAAACAAGTGAGTGTCAGTACTCAGTACTCAATCAGTCATCATTTCTGAGAAACCTATTATTATGTCTATGTTACACTGTGTAGCCTACTAATAAAATATATGAATTATGCAACAATATAATTACAATACGGACCGCCATAGTATGCCGTATGTCATGTGTGTATTATTATGTTATGTAAATGCATTCATTTATTTAAGTTAGTATAGTTTAATAGTATTAATAATACTAATTAATACTTTATTAAAAGACTTAAAACTACTTCATATGTTCATTTTGTCTAGGCCTAAAACTAAATTATTTATTTAATTGTTAATGTAGCTTTGACTTAGGAACTATATTGACTATATACATTAAGTATTAAGTTTATGTTTGGACTGGATTAGTCCTATTTACTATTTTTGCTTTTATGATATGTCATGTATAATTTATGAATATCTTGAAATAATTAGGCCTAATAATTATTGTGATAATGGTATAAATATAAAATTATTAGGGGTCAGGGGGACCACAATCCCTGTAGCTTGTAAGCATTTTCTGGGTTTTATCTATAACATTGTCATTTTTAATGTATAAATAATTTTTTTTTTTAATAAAGTGCTAGGTGGATTTAGCCCCAGTTGGCATTAATGCATTAAGTATGCCACTGTCTACATTAGTAATTAGGCCTGTAAAAACTATACACTATATGTTTTATTTAGTTCTAAAATATGTAGATTTTAGATTCAAATGACACTGGTCTCAGTGGACAAAATGGTTTACAGATGTGCATTCATTAAACCCATCCTCAGAAAAATAACTTTATTAGTAAATTTCTACAGTCTACTTAAACTCACTGTCAGAAAAAAAAATCTTTTCATAACACAATTCAAAGTGTTTACTAATTTTCATTGTATTTTACATATCTCACTAGACATTTATTTAAACTTGTGAACTAAACATTATTGACCAATTAGGCAATTAATGTTCAATCTAGGATGGCCGATTCAATGAAAGATGAGTGTTCCTCTTCAACTGATAAGAATCTATTCAAGAGCCTCAAGAGGAAAAAAAAACAAAGAAAAACTGCCCAAAGTCATCACAGCCAGTGTGTTTCATCTGTTGATGTCCTCTTGGATGAAAATGATGATGAGCTGAAAGTTAAACCCCTAAAAAAGAAAAAGAAGAAAAGACGAAAAGATACCACTTTGCAAGCAGCCATCCCTACACCACACCAATCAGACAGTGAACAGATTCAATCTCTTAAAGGGAAAAGAAGAAAAAAGCTGATGCATTCATTTGCAGAACATGATGGAGAAGATGATCTATTGTTGCTTGAAGATTCAACAAATAATATTGTCAATTATTTAGCACTTGAGGAAGAAGAAGATTACTTTGGACAGATCCAATCAAATATTGTTGGAATTCGTTACTACAAGGGAATGGTTCGTATAACTTAAAAAAATTGAAATCTTTAAATATTAAAAAAATGGTTCAAAACATTTTACCATTGGTCCTAAGAAGTGCTCCCACTAAGATGTGCACTTGCACAGTGGCACAGCTAGGGACGGTCAAAGCTTTTCCATGAAAAAAACCTCTTCATTTGGCTAAAAATTCTGTCCTTCAAAATAAAGAAAAAAGTGCCACTAGGGCGGATAACCTCCCTCCATAACCCCCTTCTTATAGCACTGCCCTTGCACGAAACTTGTACCACACCAGCACAATAGATAAATTTTGTTGCACACATAAAATTTCACTGTAGTGCAGATGCGCTCAACCCTTGTCATTTAAGTTGGCCATTTCATGGTTGGAGACTTTAAATTTTAATGTAAATAACAAGAGGATGATAATTACATATGTCTTAATCAAAATTTGTTTAATAGTTTAAAGGGAACATTGCCATTATTCTGATTAAAAAGAAATGAATTTGACCAAATTTTGGTTCAAACTGACCATTTTTAGAGGGACATATTTTATTCTTTTCACTGCTATTCATATTTTCTTCTCACATCATGTCAGATTAGATGGGACTATGAAACCGTAAACCCTGTTGAGAAATTTGAGTTTGTCTACCACTTTTTGACCTGAGACATTTTTATCTACCTTTTATTTAATTAATAGATAGTAAAAGTAAAAAATTATCTCTAGCTCTGATCCAAATCCCTGATTTCTATTTTCTAATTGTTATCTCTGAAATTAACTGACGCCACAGTCATTATAATAGTTAATGTTCAGGTTATATTACATGACAGAGCAATAATTATCCATAACATTTCACATGTCTATGTGATGAACAAACAAATTTATTTATATGATTAAGTCTATGAACTTTTCTACTAATAAACTAAAATTTTCCATCAAATGAACTTTTATACTTTTTAAATCAGGTGTCAAATAAGGAAATGGTAACTCTTGTTAGAGAACCACACAATAAATTTGATCGTAATGCTGTGAAGGTTTTAAATATGGCCTCACAACAAGTTGGACATATTGCAAGACAACACGCTGTTGCATTAGCCGTTATCATGGATAAATCATTAGCCAGAGTTGAAGGGTAAGTCTAAGATTGCAAATACAATTAATTCCTTTTTAAAAAACTTTTTCTTTTTATATGGTAAAAAGGGGAGAGAATCAAGCTAGGTAAAACGAAATGAGTGAATCAAAGTATGATAAAACCTGGAAAAAGGAATAAACAGGCATAATGACATAAGAAATTCATTGTCAATGATATTTTTCAAACTTTTGGGGGGTCAAAATAACTTACAAATCGAAACATGTTAAAGAAAAAAAAACATACAAAGTTCTGGTAAGAGTATAGGTTGACATGAATGCTTTATGGCTTTCTTGAATGTAAATTTCAATAACCTTACTTATTTTTCTAGGGTTCATTTTTAAATTTAACTTCGATTTTCTTCTTTTTTTTTTGCCTTTTTCAACTCCCTTTAGTCTCATACTGCTGTATAAAAACACTTCTCAAATTAAAAAAAAAATTAAAACAAAGTAATTGTTAAATGACTGTTAAAACATAAACTCCTTCATTGCTTTATTTAAATTATTTTTTCCAGTACAATTCCCTACGGAGCGACAGGTAATTTTCAAATTCCTGTAGACATACACTTATGGGGTTCTCCTGAGAATAAAGAAGAAGTGTTTAAAGTAATAAAATCCCATAATGTGCCATCAGGACCAAGGCAGGATCTTGCTATAAAAAATCAAGGAAAACGTAACGCACGTCACGTTTTGTCATCTAGGAGTCTTGTAACTCCACAAGAGGTACTGGTATATACGTATGGAAAATTTTATGCACCAGTTAAGTTGGGATTACTGCAGGCGCTGAGTCTGACAGATTATGCCTAAGAATGCAAGCCTGGAATGTACGAAAACGTATGAAAGGTTTGAAGTTATTCAAATCTTAACAAGCACTTAATGACTTTAGTTTGGGTCATGTGCATAGAATGAGAAGTATTGAATTATTATTTTTTGGAAAAGCTTTTATCATAAATACCAAATCTTTCTGCTGCTTCTAAGCCAATCCAGTGTTGAAAAGCATTTTATTTATAACTTTTGTGATATAAATTAAAAAATAATCTTATGTTATTAAATTTTTTAAATGGTCTATGATTGTTTTGTTTTTATGTTGTTTGATTAGCATTAGCTTCATTGTTTAATTTATTTCCTTGCTTTTAGATAATGCTATCAAGTCCTAGAAATTAAAATCTATAATTAATGTTCATCTTTTCTCTCAAAGATGCAAAATGAACTGGACAAAATATTTGAAACACTGGATGAAGGTGACAAGAGATCAGAGACTGAACCAGCTGATGTGAGATTCTTTCATATTTATTCTTTTAGAAAACAATCTAAAGATATACAAGCTCTTTCTTGTCTTATTGTAGAGATTAAATTGATTGATAATAGCTTTTAGATAAGATCAGATAGGTTAAGATTCTTTTACTGATCCAAATAAATGAAAATGTATTTCTACTAGTAATGAGATTGGTTAAATTTTACATAAATGCTTTAAAAGAAATTGAGAAGAATACCCATGCTTCATTTCCTGTTACAAGGCTGTGGGCACAGTGCTCTACCCCCACCAGAAGCAAGCTCTCAACTGGATGATTAGTAAAGAGAACACAGACACTCTGCCACCATTTTGGGAAGATCACAATGGTCGCTATTGGAACACTTTGACCATGTTTACGTCTGATGTGAAACCAAGCAGTGTGCATGGAGGTAAAACTTGAGTAACTCAGCAAATAGGGAAAAGAATAATATAAAAGCTTACAGATTATTAATATAATATAATATTTTACTACATTTAAATATATAGAAAATTGATATTTTATCTGTGGCTAAATTATGAAGGAATTGTTGATTAATTGCCATTAAAATAAGCTTTAAAGAAGAAATTTGAATTTTTTAAAAAAATATATCTCTAATATATAAATATTAAAGCATGGAAGTAATTCCCTCGCTATCCCTCACTCTTCGCTTATGTCTCTAATAATAGGAGGGAATATTTTTACAATTTTGGAGATAAAAAAATTACAGATAGTTTTTTAAAACTGCTTTCAACATTTCTTTATCTCCATAAATTAATACATTTTGGATTATTTTTTAGGGATTTTAGCAGATGACATGGGTCTTGGCAAGACTTTGGAGATGATTTCATTGATTTTGTCTAACTTTGTGGATGGTAAACCTCTTGCTTATCCCTTGCCAGGAACATGCAGGTTGCCCTTTGGATCTGAGAACATGGTACATAATTATTTGCAACCTTTATTTCAAGATTTTTACAAAAAATAATAAAGCCACATTGATGAATTCATGTCCATGCTCAGAGGAGTTTTAAGAACAAGCTTTTATTCAACAGGTATGTACAAAGAAAACAACTATCTCAAATTTAGAACTGCCAAAGACCAGCTCACAGGCTGTTAACAGTTCACATCTCAAATTGTCCCCTGAACTAAAATTTGAAACTGGAAAAAGTTCAGCTTCAAGGCTAATGATTTCAAGTAAGAATTTTAGCCAATAAAAAATTTTAATTTTACTAAAACCAGATATCTTCATGCAAGAGGAGATGGATTTTTTTTTATTTGAATAATTTTAATTAGTCACCTTTTTTTTTTTTATATATATCCTTCTTCTATGCAGTTAAAAAAATCTTTATATATCTGACATTTGCGACACATATTTTCTTCAATTGCTTCTACCGTGAAACACAGACACATCAAGAGATTATCTCAATTTTTTTTTCACTTACAGAAGAGGCATCATTTTCTGGGAATCAATATTCTGACCCCACCCGTCATGATGTTGAAGTAGATAACATCACAGCTGCACCAAGGCTTAGGGCAAAAAGGTGAAATGTTAACAGATCGAAACCTAACTTGAAAAAGCATAAAATTCATTATTTCTTTTGGAAGTTTTTAAATACATTACTAAGAATGTGTTTTAAAAGGATGGCTTCATTATTACACTATTCCTAGGTGAAGAAAGCATCAATCAAAATATGTAACAAGGGGATGTAAAAAAACACACAAACACCCCCCCCCTCCCACCCCAATGTTGGTGCAATGATGATAGTAAAAAGTATTATTAAAGACATGTTGATGCAAGGATGATAAAAAAAAAAAGTATTATTAAATTAATTATGTGGCCAATATAACCTGAAAACAAATTTTAAAAGAAAAGTGTGACATGACTCGGTAGTTAAATTCAATAACACATCAAGTGGGGATCAAGGGAGAGTAGCCTCCCCTAGAGCTATGGTAAAGAATTTGGTCATTTCATCAGAAAGGAAGTTTATTTAATGAAGAGCGCTTCTTTTTTTCTTTCTTACAAGTTCTCTGTACCACATTATAAAGAAACCTGACGTGAAAGTGCTTAAATTTACCTTTTTTTCTGCCATAAATTGTTAATTCAAAGGCCTATTGTCTTAAATTTTTAGTTAAAGCAGTCATATAAAAGAGCAATTGTAGAAGACCCAAATTTCACCTTTCTGAACCAAATTTTTAAAGCTTGTCCATGCATTTAAGAATGTTTTGCATTATAAGCATCATTTAAACATTTCCTACTACATAAATATTTTAATAAATTCTTGTTTTCAGTGCTAACTCTCATTGGCTCAGATAGACAAGTTTTAAAAAAAAAATACTTTTTAAGGAGCTTATGCACTTTCAAAGCTCCTTGTGCACATATAGTAGTTTACTGATGTTGTACACTCACTACCCCTTGTGTACATATAGTACTTAACTGATGTTGTACACGCACTATTCCTTGTGTACTTATATGACTTTACTAATGTTGTAAATTCACTGCTCCTTGTTTACATATAGGACTTAAATAATTATATACATTCAGTGCTCCTTTGCTACATTTTTTTTTACTAATTATGTACATTCACTGCTCCTTGTGTACATATAGGGATTTACTTATAATGTTCATTCACTGCTTCTTGTGTACATATAGGAATTAACTAATGATGTACATTCACTGCACCTTGTGTACATATAGGAATTTAGTAATGCTGGAGATCTATGAACTTCTTTCTTTTCTTTAGGACAGTGAAGAGACCAGCTCAGTACGTATATGATGATGACATTGTTGATGTTGATGATACACAAAAGCTACCCAGAAAAAATGGTAAGCAATTTTCAAAAATACATTGTTAAATGGGATCTTTCAATGGTAAACGTGATCTTTCATTGTTAAATGTGATCTTTCATTGTAAAATGTAATCTTTATCTTTCTTTAGTCTTGGAGATAACAACCAATAATGGTACAATTAAAATTGAGTGAAGCCAATAAAATTTCAAAAAATTAATTTTACTTAAACATCTCACATTCTCTAGGGAAAAAATCAAGAGGAAAAAAAAATGACGTAAAAAGGGTTAAATCTGTGGAAGTTGCTGAAACTGAAAGGGATGATTACATGAAAAGTAAGAAGATTATGCATTTTTTCACAATGTTCCAGATCTAGTTGTTTAAAACGTTAACATTTACATAATAAATTGTATCTTGGACTTATTTTAAATTATATGTTGATGTTAATTTAAAGATTGTTTTTGCTTTTGACATACTTGTTAATAGTGTCAAACTCCTGTTTATACCTGATTGGTTAATTCATCAAGTTCTTTCACACGTTGTAATACGTCATATTAGCGCTGAATCAACTCAAGTCCTTTTTCATAATAATGCAAACTTTAATATCTAATTAGAATTTCAGACTGTTAATTCCATATACACATGTATAGCCCAGCTTGCTATCAGAGAGAAATAAAACACAACGTCCTCTCACAAAGTTCCTTTCAAGACTGCCACATGACTAAAACGTACATCACAAAACAGACTAGACAATACATCATAATAAACATAAAATACAGCACCAAGGCAGAGTGTTCACTTACTAATTAATCTCTCAAACACACACTGCGCATAATCATATCCAGTCGCAACAATTATTGATGAACTCCCATACTCGACAAATAGGATACAGTCACGCTATGACAATAAATATAAATTGAATGCACTTCCAACTACACATTATGCCAAACATTGCATGAATTATTACTCAAGATTTATCTTTGTGGACAACAGCTTTCAACCATGGTTCTGCTCAGTTGTCAAGCGTATGTTTATCTAACATCTCAACGGATGTGTTAATGAACCTTAGCTATTTTGATATGAAAAATCTGTAGACTATAATTATCAAGCCCTTTTGTGGAAATCTTAATTTTCTTTTCAGAAACACAGACAGAAACAGAACTACAAGAATCACTTCCAGTTGTTCCAGCAGCAGACAAAAAGATCAAGACAGTTTCTGGCAGTGCAAATGACATTGACGTCATTGATCTCACTGGTACTTTCAGAAATTTTTTAAATTTAAGTTAGAGTTTCAAGGCAAAGTAATCTTACCCGGTTAAGCTTCAGTAATATAAATTCTGTAATCTCTGAATGATAATTATTTATTTTAAAAAATATCTGAATTGTTGTTTTAGCTGAAGATGAACTCCCAGATATCTCTCCATCAACATCACACAAGAAGTTTGAAGGTACCGTAATCAGGAAAATTAAGTTTTCTATTTTAAATGAATTTTTTTTGTTTGCTTGTAAACTTTTTTCTTTTAAAATTATTAACAATATAAATAAAACCAAGAATGTTTATTTTCTGAAATATTACTTTGTCTGTTATAAACCTCAAATTGTAATACACATATTTTTTAAGCTTTTCTTTAAAAAAAAAAAACAACTTATATGTATAATTAACCCTGTTAATGGCCCCCATATTATATTCCATTTTTTATATATGATCTTTGTACAGTACCAAGAATAGAAGAGCTCCCATCTAATTGTGAATTAACATCTGGGCGTTCATTGACACATAGTCCAAGGGCAACATTAATCATCTGTCCTCTAAGTGTGGTCAGCAATTGGGTGGTGAGTGGACTCCAGTTCTTACAATCTCATGAACGTGGCCAAATTTTAAAACACATTACTTGTTAGGTTTGGAATTAAGTTTTGCAACTTTTTAAAAATAAAAATGTCAAGCAAATTGCAAAATGCAGAATTATAATTAACCCATTGAAGACATACATGTTTATTAAAACATGATGAAAAGTTAACAGCTACCACACAATCTAGAAATTTGTTAAAATGATAAAATTAGAAAAAAATTATTGGAATTGGAACAATGTATTTTTTTTCCCCCAAGGATCAATTTGAAGCTCATGTTCAGAAGACAGTTCACATCTTTTTGCATGTATACTATGGACAAAATCGTACCAAAACATTTGCATTCCTCAAGAACCAAGATGTTGTCATCACCACTTATTCCACTCTTGCATCAGACTTCAAAATGGTACAGTTGACTAATATATAAATATTTTCAAACTGACTTATCTGTTTATCCTTAGCCTTCAAATCTAATATTTATTTGACCTGTGGAATTGTACATTTGAAACATAGTCTATAGTTTATTTCTGATTTTTTTTCTGTTAAATAATTTTTTCAAATCTGTGGATTCAAATTTTTTTAATAAATCTTATCTCTTCTCTGAAAATATGGTGTTGTTCTTTTTATATTAATAGCATAATAGTTAAAAATAAAAGAAAATAATTAAAACCTTAAAATGTTCCCTTAAATAAAATTAGTTATTCTTTCTTTTTTTTCTATAAATATCTAAAAAAAACTTATCTTTACTGAAGGGTGAAACCAGGAGTCCACTACACAAAGTGGAATGGCTAAGAATAGTGCTGGATGAGGGACACATTATAAGAAATCATTCTGCCCAACAGACAAAGGCTGTATTTGAACTGAAGGCTGAAAGAAGATGGATTCTAACAGGTTTGGAAATACACAATTTAAAAGTACAACCATTAAATGTACAATCATTCAGAAGTGTAGCCATTTACGAATACAAGTTTATACACACAACTCCAGAAATAATTTGGGAATTCAAAGGTCAAAGGTGAGCTATTTTCAGAAACAGATTACCAGGGTTTTTTTTAGTTGTTTTTAAAAAAATAATACATAGTTGATTATTTTCAATTGTAATTGATAAAAATCAATTGTAACTAAATGCTTGTAATTGATAAAAATCAGTTGTAACTAAATGCTTGTAATTGATAAAAATCAGTTGTAACTAAATGCTTGTAATCGATAAAATCAGTAATTGCTTTTAATTGATAACATCAGTTGTAACTAATTGCTTGTAATTGATAAAATTAGTTGTAACTAATTGCTTGTAATTGATAAAACCAGGTACACCTATCCAGAACTCCATCAAAGACTTTTGGTCAATGTTAAACTTTCTTAAAGTCCAGCCTTTTACTGAAAAATTATGGTGGAATCGTACCATTGCTAAACCAGTGTACAGGAGGGAAAAGGCCGCCATTCCGTGAGTTTCTTGTATGCGTTGATTTTCTGTAGTATTTTTTTTCCCTTCGGTTATCAGCAACCAACCGTGTGAACTACTACATCTAATTGTCTCTTTAACATGGCAACTTAACTTTTTATTTCAATTTTCAAACACATAATATTTGTTACATCTTGAACTATAGGAGAGTGGCACATTTAATGAGAAATTTAGCAATGAGACGCACCAAAAATCAAAAGTACAATGGAGAACGGCTTGTCGCTCTGCCAGCTCGCAAGGTGTACCTGGAAAAGATAACTTTGAGTGAAGATGAAAGAAAAGTCTATGATGCCATGCAGACTAAAGGACAAACTCTCATAGGAAGGTAGTTGAATACTTGCATTAAACATCTCATCTGTAATCAAGTTTTTTTTTAACTTCACTACAGAACTTAAAAATACAGCTTGAAATAATTATAAAGAATAATAATAAAGTATCTCATTATAGATAAAATTGTGCTTAACATTAAGATAAGCTTTAAATAATTTATTTTTGGCAGGTTTGGTTTCATTTTCTGAACTAAATTTTTTTTTTTTTAAATGACAAGAAAAAATAATTTTTTTTCGCATTATTACTTCTCTGAGTGTTTGTATGCTATGATAATTTTTTTTCTTAAATAATCATTTTACTCAGGTACTTTCAAAATGAAACGTTGCTTCATAATTATGGTCAGGTGCTGGCAATACTAATGAGACTACGCCAGCTGTGTTGCCATCCTCAGCTGGTAGCTAAGGCTTTGGCCAAAGTTAAAGAAAATGACCCTGGTATGTCTTGAATTATAATATTTTAAATACAAATAATAAATTGTACATGATTTTTAATAAAAAATTTTAACACTTAGAGTATGTTTATTAATAATTGTTAGAGTTACTGGGTTACATCATATTATGCTACTTTTTCTTTTGTAAGGATAAAAGCCAAGATGTTTAATTTACAAAACATGTCTGTTTTCAAAATATATTATATACTAAACTTCAATTAAATTTGACATTCTGACAGTAGATTTAAATATTCTTTAACATCCTTTGATATAGTTTTGAATTTTAATTTTTTTAAATATTATATGTTGTAAATTTAAAATTGAACCAAAATCAATATCTCTAATGAAAATAATAACCACAGTGTTACATTATATTTTCTTTTATTAGACTTTTTTTCTTAACGATCCATGATTCTTTACATGAATCTTAAAATGTCTTTACTCCTATCATTGCAGAAGATAAAAATGATACTACCAAAAAGAAACTTATTGATCAACTTATGACTGTACTGTTATCTGGCTCTGATGAGGAATGTGTCATTTGTCTGGAGAGTTTAAATAATGCAGTCATCACCCCATGTGCTCATGTCTACTGCAGGCCTTGCATTGAAGCAGTGCTTAAAACTAAAAAGGTATTTGCAATAAAACATGAATGTAGGTCAAATGTCAGGGGCAAGTCCAGACAAAATAAGTTGAAAATATATTAGAAATTTTAAGATGCAAAATATTCATCTCCACTAACCCTGTCATCCATCCCTGTGGCACTATAGCCCATGTATGGCTTTGACCTGCCTCACCACATGCTTCCACTCAGACCTGATGCTTTTCTTTTACATGCTTCGATTCCCAGCTGCTGTAGATCCCTCTCCACATCATCCATCCATCTAAGCCTAGGTCTGCCTTTGAGCTTCTTTCCTCTGGGGTTTTGGTGGTGCACCCTCTTCACCCTCATTTCAGATATTTTCTGAAAATCAAAGAATTAGAGAACAGATTGGTCCCAAGTGCTCAATAATATATATGGGGCACTGCTTTCAAGCTGCGTTAAGTAAATAAGTAATGGAATGAGATATGTTAAGCCTCGAAAATAGAAGACAGGACAATCTAGCTTAAATGTCTGTTCAACGTCCTGTCTTTTTTCAAGCCTAAATGTATCTTGTTCAACTATTATCTACTTACAAAGTGCTCAACCAATGTCCCTGTGAAATGAGCTACTTTTTCTGTGTTCGTGTACAATATGGGTGTACGGATATACTTTGCCTCCACTGTAAGACTTAGTTGCATAGGACTTCTCTAATATAACCTTGTTTATTGGTGTCACATGGTATCGCCTCTTTCAATCTTAACATTAAACACATGCTTATTGGGAAACTTGTTTTAAATACAAGAGAGATTTTAAACCTGTTTACCTTTTTTCTTGGTATGTGGAATATTACTTTAAAAATTGTTTACCTTTTTTCTTTGTATCTGGAATATTACTTTAAAAATTGTTTACCTTTTTTCTTTGTATGTGGAATATTACTTTAAAAATTGTTTACCTTTTTTCTTTGTATGTGGAATATTACTTTAAAAATTGTTTACCTTTTTTCTTTGTATGTGGAATATTACATTAAAAATTGTTTACCTTTTTTCTTGGTATGTGGAATATTACTTTAAAAATTGTTTACCTTTTTTCTTGGTATGTGGAATATTACTTTAAAAAAATTAAATGTTTAAATCATCATTGGCCCTGGTTTTAATAAAAAAATTAATTAATTTATACTAAAAAGTAAGCCATGCTTGTGTTAACATTAATTTATCATGCCATTAGGTTATCTTCAATATCTGATGATCATTTCGAACACTTGCAATGAACTAAACTCTCACACGCAAAAAATAAATCTTTTAAAAAATAGCTGCTTGCAAAGGTTTTTTTTTAATTTATCATTTTATTCTGATGGTAATTAATTTTTAAAATGGGCCATTACATAAAGGGGAAAATTAATTTTAAAAAACTTTTGAAGAATAATTACATCAACTTCTACACTTCCATGCTAATTCATAATTGTAAAAGAAAGGATTTTTAAATAAATTTTTCTTTAGTCTGAGCAGTGCCCTCTTTGCCGTGGGGATGTTGAAAAAAACCAGCTCATCGAAGTTCCCAAGGAGCAAAATGACGGAGACACAGCTGGGATGGATTCTGATGACTGGCAGTCTAGTTCTAAAGTAAGTCACAGTGAAACACTCAAATGCTTTTTGTAGTATAATTTTATAATCAATAATGTTGTTGGTGCATTCTATAGTCAGAACTAGGAATTAACTATTTTCTTATTATATTTGAAATATTTGTAATTATATTTATACCAAATTTGCAAGGTCATATCCAGACTTTTTAAGGATTAGAAAATTTACCAGCTTACTGGGAATATTTATTCTGTTACACCGAAAGAGAGGCGAAAGAGAGACGTCATCATATTTTAAGAAGCACTGAGATTGCACAGCATATGTTGAACTGGAAAAGATGAAAGAAAGAAAAAAAAAGAGATGTTCAAAGCATTTTGAATTAGTTACCAGACCTAGTGATTTGCCCTGTACAGGTGGATGCCCTTATGCAAGCCCTCAATTCATTGCGTCAAGAAGACCCAAGAGTGAAAAGTGTTGTTGTATCACAGTTTACATCCTTACTAACTATCCTGGAGAAACCCCTGTCGTAAGCTGATAGACTATTTATTTAATTTAAAATGTACCTTTGCTTACTGCAACCAACAAATGTCATATAATTATAGCAGTGTTAATGCCAGATTCCAAGTTACTTTATATTTCTTTTTTTTTGTGTGTTAAAAACCAGGTGTTAAGGAGATAGCAATCTTCAAAGTTCAACATTTTTAGTGTTAAAAAAAAAAATCATAAAATCAGCCTAATGATTGTAACAGTTATATTTTGTAACTTTTATGGCAGGAGGCGCTTATAGTTCAGTAAAGTTACTCATATAATGTTAGCTAATAATGTAAGCTCAATGTAAGCCATGGCTTCCTGCTACTAATTCAATAATTCATTCCACTCCTCAAGACTGTCTGCCTCTCTCTGCTAAGAAGTAACAATGTCCAAATGAATAGAATGCACAGCACTTTATTACATATACTAAATAAATCACATAATTCCTTGACATCAGAATAATGTTGTACCAATTATAGTTGCAATGCAGAGAATATATATACACACACGTTCTATGCTTTATCTAATATCCTTTCAGTAAAACCATTTGAGAAATTACAACATGTCCTCTCACATTCAAGTTATCATGCGCTCTCCTTTAAAAAACATGAATTCTCCTTCCCCTACAAAAACTGGTTCCTTTTTCTCGTTTTATTCATTCATCAAAATTATATCACTACACCATTGTGTAGTGATAAATAAATAGAAATAAATATTAGTATCGTGTGAAAAATCATAGTTAACTTGATCAGTTACATGCCCTACCCATTAGAAAAATATACATGGAACAACATCGTCTGTTACAATAATGCTTCAGTTTCAATGAAGCATCTTTTACAATGATGCTTCAGTTTCTTTACTTAAATTGACATAGTTTTGTTTGATAGCTTAAACTTTTTCTTTATTTTTTGACTGAGATTTTTTTTTTTAAATTCACTATTGTCGCCCTTAGAGGGATAGGTAAGTATATTAGTTTTAGTTTTGTTGTTATTGATTATGTTTATGTGTAGTTTTTGTTTTGTTGTTATTGATTATGTTTATGTGTAGTTTTTGTTTTGGGATTGGAGGAGGTGTTGCTCCTTGTACAAGTTTGATTCACTCTGTAAAGTAACTGGGACCTAGGAGAATAATATAAAATGTGTTTCCTATAAATTTAACTTTATATATCTTCCTTATCAATCTGCCATTCATTTTGCTCCTATTTATTTAACTACAGCATGGAAGGCTTTGTGTACTGTCGTTTTGATGGTTCTATGAGTGCTGCTGAGCGCACAGAGGTGCTGAGGAATTTTTCTCAAACTCATGCTGGGTCTCCGACTGTTTTATTGCTTTCTCTTAAGGCTGGTGGAGTGGGGATCAACTTAACTGCTGCATCCAGAGTTTTTCTCATGGATCCTGTAAGTAATTGTGGTGGGTGCTTTTTGGTGTGGAAGTAAAAAAAATGCACTTGAAAGAGAGGTACTTAGCCAATCAATAGCCTATAATACTGACATTGTTGAATTTTTCAAAAATTATAAACAGGCCTGGAATCCTGCCTCTGAAGACCAGTGCTTTGACCGCTGTCATAGATTAGGTCAAACAAAAGATGTAATCATTACAAAGGTATGGATTTTTTTTTATTTATATGCTAAAAAGTATGACCTGGTGTAACCGGGATAATAATAGATGGCATATTGCGCTACTTTCCACCTGTTCTTGTGAAGTCTAAACATCTTAAAATCCAATTCTTACACTTGTAACTGAATCAAGTTTTGATATACTGTATCCTCATATTTCTATTTATTTTCATGAAATGTTTACAACCCATTTTTATATAAAATATTGTTATCCTTATAAATATGAAGCAACCCCTAATCCTCGCCTCTGCACTGTACATAACTGAAAATAATATCCAATATTTTTCACCTTTCCAACAATGTTGAGTTTCAAGCTTTGGGTATACTTAAATTGTAAATGTGTCCACAATGTGTCATCACCCTTTAAATTACATTTTCCAACATTACTGTAATGCATATTTATTTATTTTGAAAAAAAAATCTAACACCTTTTTTTCACCATCGAAACTGTACTATAATTGGATTTAAAGATATTGTCATCCAGATAGAAATGTTCACATCCTATTCCATCTCTCTGAGATGTGTATACCGAAGAATCGAAGAAATATTATATTCTTCACTCCTTAATTCTTGGACCCATCTTGTGCTGATGTGACAAAATGAAAGTATCAAATTACTATAATCCCCCAACCCCCCCCCCCCCCTCCTTTAAAAAAAAAAAAAAAAACATTAAAAAAAATCATCCACAGGATTGTAGCCCCTATGTAAGCAAACGTAGATTTTTTACACGCCCCTCAACTTTACCCTTTTACCAGGAACTGTTATACATTTTCTATAAAAAATATAATAATAAATATATCTACACATAATTCCGTTTATTAAAAGATTATGGTTATTTATTTTAACATTAGAATCTATGCCAAAGTTCAAAACTGTAACATAATTGGGTCTTGAGATATTGCTATCAGAATGAACCTATTTCAACTTTAAATGTTTTGTTCTTATTTGGATGAGTTATAAGTGAATTAGTGAGTGGTATTTGGCTATGAATTTTCCTTGCACTTCATGTCTTAAATGACATTCTCTTATTCACAATATTTTAAAACAATTAGTTTATTATTTTAACTTAATACATTAAATAAAAACACATTTTTGGAATGTAAAATATGTTAAACTAATTAGATTTAAAATTTAAAGTACAAAGTTAACGTTTGGTGTGGTTTATTAAAAATTTTAAAAGCAATAAATTACATTTATTATTTCTATTTTTAAGAAAGGGGAAAATAAATTATCAGTTTTGCCTCACACAGTTATTAAGTCAAGGAAAATGAGAGCTTTGGATTTGTGATTTTCCAGTTTCAATTTAGCTCTTAAGAATTTAATATAATTTTTCTTTATTTGAGTTCAATCAAAAATTTTAATTGATATTGTTTGAAGACATTTGTATAACATGAATTCAAATTTAATTTCGCAATATTAACAACACATTAAAAACAACATATTTATGGGTATTCCCGATAAATGTTAATGCTAATTAAATATAGTATTTCCATGGATGATCAATTATTGAATATAAAAATTATATCTTAGCTTTCAAATTGGGATAGAATACTTAAAATAGTTATTTAATTGTTGTATTAAATGAATTTCTAATGTATAATAATAATACTGAAGCATATGTGGAAACTTAAATATAAGTAGAACTATTATTTTTTTTAGCATCATATTTAAATGTATTAGATTTCTGTAAAATAATATGAAATTCCTATTATTGTTTTTAAGACTCAGAACATATTTAAATCAATTCTTTTTTTAAGCTTTATATGGTCAGCCTTGCTCATTCTTTTATTTATATATATATTTTCCTTATCAGTGTTAAAGTATTATTTGATTTGTCATAATAAACCTATTATCATACATAACACCTTCGAAAATTTTTCATATTAATTTCTGGGAACGTTTTGTAGTCTTTATTCTGGTTTAAAGAAACTTGTCAAAGAAATTTTGTGATTTTATTATGAAATAAATTTATCTTTGAATGAGTCCATGTACCTTTCTGAAAACTTCAATAGTATACGAGTTGTTCAAATAGGGAATGTGCCAGAAGTTACACAATAATAATTTAATTTTTTTTTTAAATTGATTGTTTCTTTTTGTTTTTTTATAGTTTGTTATTGAAGACTCTATTGAGGAAAGAATGCTGGAGCTACAGGAAAAGAAAAGACAGCTTATGCGTAACGCCTTCGATAAAAAGATTTCTGCAGAGCAAAACAGAACTGACCGAATCAACGAGATAAAAAATTTGATTAGTGATAAGAAAAAATAATGATTACAAAATGAATATCTTGATTTCATTAACATGTTGTAAGGATGGGGACCCATCTTTATTGGGTTAAATATTTTAACCAATTCTTTTTTAATTTTTATAAAATGTTAGCTGCAGGACTTTGGTGCTGAATAGTTCTATGTGCATTTATATCTTTTAAAATATTTAAAAGAACAAGTGTGTTCATTCCTCCAAAAGACTACAAATGTATCATGTTATAGTTGTGCTTTTAAAAATTTGTCATTTTTAAAATTGTTTTGTATTATGATTGTTAATTGCTAAAACTCTGCCATTTTTTTTTAAATTTTTGTCTAGATTTTTGAAAGCTATATTGGGCATTGATTTAAAAGAGAAAAAAAATCAAATCTTGAGAATTAGAGTTTAAGCTATTTTTCAGCTAATCTTTATAAATCTATTACTCTGAACAATAATGCCAATACCTTTTTTTAATATTTTTTTTTAATATATTTATTTTTTTAAAGAATCTGTCAATGCATGTTGTACATTCTTTAGATTTTAGTACATGAAAGAAAAAAATGAAATATTAAAAAAACATTTAATAACTTGGATTGTTTTGGCTAGAAGAGAAACAGTGATTCTATATTATATTTGCATGTTTTCAGAAAACATAAATTGTCTTAACTGCTTTGCTATTCTGGTTTTAAAATAAAAGGCATTTTGAAAATGTTTATTTTTTCAGCCAGTAAGTCAGTAAGTTTTCCAAAACTGAAAAATGATTATAACTTCCAAGTGCTTTCAAATAATATATTTTAAAATATGCAAAAATTCATGTTTTTTGGTCACATAAGTTCAATTTAAAACTGCTAAAACTAAGTCAGTATTATCCAGTGCATTTTATTTCTTAATATCCTGTTTTGTTTTATATTATTTAAGTTGTATTTTAAGCATTTCAAATGAACTTTCAAGTTACTTGACTTAAAATAGATAAAAATGATTCATTTTTTAAATGATTTTTTTACTCTTGTGCTGAAGATAATTTTTTTTTAATTTTTGTATAAATGGTATTGATGTTATAATTTTTTTTTCATTTAAAAATATGTTGTAAACATTTGATGGCAATTTGACATTAAACTAACCATTTAATATCTTACAATTTTCTATTTAAATTTCTTGGGCTATTTCAGACATTTAGGTAGTTTAAAGTTAAAGACTTTTGAAAGAAAAAAAAAGAATTAAAAAGAAATAATTTAATAATTCTCACTCATTATTCTGCCATTCTCAAAAAAGATAGTTGAAAGATATTTAAGTAGTTTTTTAATATGCTTTATTTTATTAAATTTTATTCACAAAATCAAACATATTTATATAGGTCATAAAAAATACATCTATAAATAATAAAACAACATGAGTATTTTCTTTTTCCAATAAGAATAAAATTGGAAATATGTTCACAATTTTCACAGTTAAATCTTAAACAATATAAATAATTAATATTTTTCAAAAGTATGATTTTCTTAAATTGAATTAAAATGAAAACAAAAAAAAAATTAATGTAACTTACAAAGAGAAAGTTGCAAAAAACATTTTTTAAGCTGATAATAATGTGCTTTGTTTCTTGCCTGTGGGATGGTCTAAAATTAGATCTCACATTTTAATAAAGTCAATCTAAAATCATGATACTACTTAGGTTACTAAAAATTTTGTGTAACTTTATATTTTCTTATTAATTTTTGTGCGTGCATAAAATACAAAATATATATTAAAATAATGAATAAATAAATAATTATGCCTATATAAATAAATGTATTGCAATGATTATAGAAAAAAATCACAATTTTCATTCAATTCCTTCAGCCAATTTTTGGTCAGGAACAGGACAAAGTTTTATTTGGTGGAGTGCTTGTTAGTCTCATTGATTTGTTGAGTCTACCATTGATCATCAAAGTCATCTGCCCTTAGGATAAGTTTAGATTGTTTTGGTTCATATTCATCAAGTTGGGTCAGAATATCATCAGTTGAATTTTTCCTCCAAAGGTTTTGAGAGATCTGTAACAAATGAGGGATGCAATATGAATTTGGAAAACATTAATGAAAGTCCTGAAAGACTTTTTTAAGTTTGAAACAGTTTTTCATTCCAATCATTTATAGAATTAATGTCTTTTGAGTGCATTATTCCTGGCTAGATGAGAAATTTAAATCATGGATTTACTTTAAAGGAATTGCCCACTGTCAAGAAACACAGTTATATGAATGTAATTTTAATATTAGCTTGCATAAAAAATATTAAATGTTCAGAATGATACCTGAATATAATAAATCGTTATTGCATTTTAAGTTCATTGGATTAACTCAAACAAATTGGGTATACAATTAAACATACAAATATTTTACCTTAGTTATAGAGTCAACATTAGGGGTGTATTTTGTGATGAACTTGCGCACACTGTCGTAATATTCAGCTAGTTCAGGCATTTTATCGAGGCGTTGAATGTCGATGGGTAAGGGAGTTTCCAAAACAATAATTCCGTTTTCAGGGTCGAAGACAGTGACGGGGTTACGCAGAAGAGCATTGACATCACTCATATATTCTTTAATTTCCTCCACAACAATGTCCTTCAACAGATCAATCGCTTTCTTTAACTGCTTTCTAACGTTTTCCTTTACCTGCATGAATTTGACTGCCCAGTTGGCCTGTTCCAAAATTATTAAAAAAATAAATTGATTTTAAATTTAAATTGATTCACTTGTATCTTAGCATTTAATTTTAA